TCTGTAAAAAAGAAGTTTTTGAGGAAGAAGAAGAAGTAGTAGTATTTATTTGTTTTTTTTTTTAGACTTTAGAAACTCAGAAGCTGATCAAATATCGGGTTAAATATCAGTGGGGTGGCCGATGTCCGATATGCCCATTATATATCGTGCATCCCTAAATAATTTAATACAAAGATTGATGTTTAAAAAGGAATTGAAGGGGGCCCCGCCAAATTTTAAACTGCTCCTACTGTAATCTCCAACCTCCTTCCTAAATGACCAAGTGATGCTAAAAAGCTTCAAAAATCAAATTATTCGGGGGTTTTCCCCCCAAAGTTTCTTCTAGATCAGTTGGAAAGACGTAAATCGCCATGTTTTTTATTCTACATGCTAATTTTATAAGCTAAACATCTTGGTCACTGGAACCAGTGGGTCATACCAGCACGTCGTGGCAGATCTCTTGGAGCTCCCCCTCGATCTTCACGCGATAGTCCCGGGCCATCTGCTGTTTCTTCTCGTTGCCCTCCGTCTTCTGCTCGATGCTGGAAATGACGCGCCAGGATGAGCGGCGGGCCCCCACCTGAGAGCACAAAAAAGAATAACCTCATAAAATGGAAACTTCTAGATGTTTTTCTGCAAAATAAAGCAGAACTTTGTACTTTAAAAGCACAAAATGATTAAAATCTCCAACACTGAGTGACTGAAGCTGACGGAGCAGCTGGGGGCCAATCAGGACACTGGGATTAAGGACAAGCTTTGCTCCTCCACCAGTAGGTGGCAGCAGTTCTCCAACTAAACCACCAGTCAGCCCTTTAGTTTTGTACGAAAACGAGCAGCGTGTATCCCTTTCGTCATGTACAAAAAAATTATTGAATTACTTGTGTTTTTGAAGCGTATGGCGATCTGACTAAAGGGATACACGCCCACTGGGACTGACTGAATAGTTGGTTTGTAACCACGGAGCTCAGTTCTTATTGGAGACTATTAGAGGAAAACGATCAACCAAATCCCCCCCCCTGAAAGCGACCACTCGCTGTTTATTTCAGACTTGCTGCTTAAACTAGGGGGCCACCATGCTGCAAAACAGAGCAAGAACTGCCATGAGGCCCCGGACTGTGTGAGGAGGGAACCATGGAAACGGGTGTGGTTCATGTGAGCAGAGCTAATGACTCATAAGAAGACAGAACAACCCTGCTTCCATCTCTGATTAACTTCAGAGGAGGAACGCCTCAATGAAAACATCCTGGACTTCCACTGTGGAAGGAGCTCCTGTCTGGAGCTGCAGCAGCTGGGAAGCTTGTCGCCGTACCACGTTCTTATAGGCGACAGAGAGCAGGTTGCGCTCCTCGTTGCTGAGCTCCTGGCCCTGCTCCGTCACAGCCTTCATGGCAGCCGCCATGTCGTCGTAGCGCTCGGCCTGCTCTGCCAGCTTGGCTTTCTGCACCAGGTCGTTCTTATCCATCTTTTAGGCTGCAAAACAAAAGCACAGAACACACAGAAATGTTCGATTAAACAAAAAGAATTTCAGAAAGAAAAAGAAAAAAAAATATATATATATAGACAAACGTCACAAACAGAAGAAATCTTGAGGCTCCAAACCCAAGTAGGGAGGAGAAGATCTGCTCTGCCCATCAACTGGCTTTATTATTCAGATAAAAACCTCAACGTGAGACAAACAAGGTATCTTCCTTCATCCCTTCAACCGTCATGAAGGTTCTGACCAGGATAACTCCTCTGCTGCTGGAGTATTCCATTTACAGTCATTTAACCGTCAGGTCTGCAGTTCTTCTGCTGTTTACAGCTGGTTTTAGATGGTTTGGTTTCCATGGCTACTGGTTAAACATCAGGAACAGGAGGAGGCGGTAAACTCCTTCACAGCGCGCTCTAAGCTTCTCAGCATGTTTCTACAGTCACACTAAGGCGACTAAATAGAGATCAATATGCTGGAAAAGATTCTCAGTCATCCAGGTCATGGACTTTCCAAAAAAGAAAAAAAATAATCAACTGGACTTTTTTTCCAAGTTAGAAGACGTTTGCTTCCCATCCATTCAATGCAAAACGTCAGAAATAACCTCGAACTCAACTCTATTCCTGACATTGAAAAATTATTCTGAATTTGAAGCAAAATGTCTCCAGACTTGGAAACAGAGTCTAGTGGATTGTTGCTTTCTTTTACTTTCTTGGAATAAAGGGAGATCAATGCGGCGTGCTGTAAATCATCGGATCAAAATGGCCGTCAAGTTTTGTGTCGAAATGTGCAGACATTAATCACACCACCAGGTGGCGTTTCGCAGATCAATCATTCCATTTTTCCCATTTGCAATCTGTACAGTTTGGTTTTCGGAGTCAAACAAAATGCGAACAGGTCCTTTAAATAAAAGTTACAACAAAATAGACGTCAGGACTGTCAAAACTACTGAATCTAACTTATCAGATTTGTGCTTTTATCCGCCGCAAAATAAAAATAAAACCCATGCCAATAAGGTGCAGGGTTGGAACAGATGTTTGGTTTAATGCCAAGCTACCGTGTGAGAAAGTTTACTGCTCTAAAATGATCGTAATGTCAGGAACAAAGGACTGGAATGCCTGCTGGTTTTCACCTCCAGCTTCCTGGAATAACAGGTCAGTCCAGACCCACTTTCTCTGAATGTCGGGGATATTTGATAAGGAATGGGGCGAAGGCGTGCCTTATATCACCGGGCCTGAAACAATCAGATGGATTATTATATTAACCAATCATTGAAATTATTCTACACTATTTTAGTCAGTGGAATCAAAGCATTAGCTGAAGTTTACTGACTTTAAACTGGACAAATAGACATTTATATTTAGGACTAAAAACCAAACTTTGTCCATCAATATTATCTTTGAATGACTAATCTTTTATAAATTATCATCATTTGCTCAAAATAACACCAATTTAAACTGAGCTCTAAATATCTGTAAAGAGAAGAACTTTGGTTTATTACGGGACTTTAAATTTTCATTTTAGATTAGAAAAATGTTTATTATCTTATCAATATTCATTAACTGCAGCCTGGCGTTTATCCAATCATATTAGCCGCGGTCTCTCAAGTGGTTTAATTGAGCAAGATGCTACTTTAATCTCAATATAACAAACAAGGTTCATACAATTCTATTCAGTTTATTTCTATAGCTCTAATTCACAACACGTCATCTCAAGGCACTTTACAATTCACCAGATCATCCAGTCAGATTGTTTTAAAGTTTTCTATCTAAGGAAAACCAGTTGATTGCATCGACTCATTGACTGGAAGGAAATCCCTCACACTAAGCATGCTTGTAGCGACAGTGGAGAGGAAAAACTCCCTTTTAACAGGGAGCAGAACCAGGCTCAGAGTGAGCGGCCATCTGCTGAGGCCGACTGGGCAAACAGGAATAAGTTACTCCAATTTAATGCTTTTTAACGCTCATTTAATGCTCTTGGAAATAATTTTAATGCCATTAACAAGTAGTCATAACTCTCATATATCTATATATAACACGGCCAAATCCTATGTCATGTTTACCATCGACTGGCCGCAGCCATGTCCCGACTTCCTCGTCTTCCATCCACTTTGGTTAAAAGTTGCATTTTCCCCCCATTCTCTAACATTTTCTCCACCTCGAGCTTCTTTTCCGAATATACAGCTTTACGATCAACCGGAAGCAGTTGCGTGCAAACAAGCAGAACCAGTTATATCCGATATAAAATATCTGACGAAAGTGTTTTTAATAAAGCATTTTAAATGCCACCATAATCACATTTATTTAATCTTAATGCCAATTGGCCTCAATGAAGAAAAAAAAACATTTTTAATCACATGTGGAAACCCTGATAAATTTTAGCACAAAATGAAGTTACATTAGTAATGATCTTGTGGCACATCACTTAAAATAGTATTGTTAAAAACATTTTTTAAATCTGATCAATAGGTATATATTTCCTGCTCATCAATCAACCTGAACAGTTTGTACTTCCTGCCTANCCTCGAGCTTCTTTTCCGAATATACAGCTTTACGATCAACCGGAAGCAGTTGCGTGCAAACAAGCAGAACCAGTTATATCCGATATAAAATATCTGACGAAAGTGTTTTTAATAAAGCATTTTAAATGCCACCATAATCACATTTATTTAATCTTAATGCCAATTGGCCTCAATGAAGAAAAAAAAACATTTTTAATCACATGTGGAAACCCTGATAAATTTTAGCACAAAATGAAGTTACATTAGTAATGATCTTGTGGCACATCACTTAAAATAGTATTGTTAAAAACATTTTTTAAATCTGATCAATAGGTATATATTTCCTGCTCATCAATCAACCTGAACAGTTTGTACTTCCTGCCTAAATGACCTTGATCATTTTGTTAGTTATAAAGTTTTCTGGCAGCTCCAGCAGACGTCCTGGCGGAGCATCTTTACCCGCCAGTAACTAATGACTGTCGCCCACTTTTCCATGTAGAAGTTATTAACAGCCCTGAAGCAGGGAGAGACGCTGGGAGCTGAACCAAGAGTAAAAAGTACAAATCAATCACCTGCTCATATCGAGTGGCATCCCATTAGTTTCCAAAAGACAGAACTAAAACCAGCAGACATTAAAAGTACAAATTAAAAAAACTAATTCTGCTCATCAGTGGCAGATTACTGCCTGCATGCAGCTTTAATAACATTCCTGACAGGATGTGACATCACAGATCTGTGTATCTATACTAAAAGACTATCACACATTCCTATTGTCCTCCTTCAATGTTAAAACTTTATATTTATGCTCTAAATTCAAAGTATTTATAAAATAAAATCCCTTTACATGCTTCTATGTGTAGCTTTACTCAATCACTATTCTTTACTTTTACTCAGTTATTTTTTTTATCTATTATTTTGTTCAAACTCTGCTGATTGTTCACTGGAAATTGCACTTATTTCTTTCTATACTATACATAAATAAATACATTATAAAAGAAAAGCATGAACCAAAACTGAAATCTGCTTCTAGTGAGGAATCCTTTTCAGTTTAATAACAACTAATGTCTAAAAGAGATCAAAAGACCCTTAATTTAATCTTTTAAAAATAAATCAGCCTGAAATAACGATGAAGAACAAACATGGCTGCTCTGTTTATTGTTAGAATCTATATTAGGTGTGATATTTCTGACCAAATGAGACTGATTGAGATTAAAGCCCATTAAAAAGCAGGTAGTGATGATGATGATGACATGGTTTTTCACCTTCCTGCTAAAATTAGCTTAGCTTAAATCAGAGCTCGTGCCTCTGGTCCCGGTTCGGTTTGAAACAGACGGCCTTAGAGGCGCGCGGATCGAACCGCATCGATCCAACCGGCTCCGGTCATCCCCCCACCCCCCCAGCACGTGCCAGGCGGTTATCCAACCACCGGGCTTAAACAACTTTAGACCGATAAAAATGAAGAGAAACCCCGATAAGGCAGCTTTCTCCAAGCGGAGGAGCGGCCATAGAGGGCCTAACAGCCAGGGTGTGGGGGGCGGCCCGCTCCCCCGGCTGGCTCGGCGTGCTAACAGCTACGCCCTCCTTGTCGCATTCCGCTGCGGAATTTTAAGATGGAGAGATAGATTAGCGCCTGTTAGCTTAGCTGCTAGCAGTGGGAGTAGCTGACCGAGCGCAGCGCGAAGGCCCACTTCCCCCATCTTTGGCCAATTTAGCGATTCTTCGAGATTCATTTGAGTTTGTAGTTCCATAAACTGTGTATTTGGGTCGCATATGAAGTGGGAACTCCCGGGGAACATGGAGGGTGTGTTAGCGGAGCTGCTTTCACTGCGCCATGACGGAGCTCCACATCCGCGCCCAGTCACTCCTCCCTAAATCCAGCGGTTTGGGACCGAGGCGTCTTTAGATGGCTGGAGCTGAACGCCTCCTGTAGAAAAAGCGGCCTCCCCAGCATCGGCTGCTAAACGGTCCGGGCTGCAGAGTGGCCGCGGCTCGGCCGCTGCTAAGCTGTCAAAATGGCCAGAGCCAGCTTCTCCCTCCTCCCCACACGGTGAGCGGCTCGCATTGAACCGGGCCTGTGCTTCAGGCTTCAACCATTACGATTATAGGCGCCTCCCGGCAGCACCTGATAACGTTTTCGATGCTTTTTTCGGACATTTCTCATTTTCTGCTCATATTCTCTGGCCTAAATCCCCGCACCCAGCCCCAAACCACAATAGGCATCTTCCGCCGCAGAGGCAGACCGCGGGACCCCCGGTTCGACTGCCGCTTCACCGTCAAAACTCTGCTCGACCCGAACATCAGACATCGATGGATGAAAACATCTGCGGACTCACATTTAGAGCGAATCAAGGATCCGGATTTTCTTCTCTTAACGATGGGAGTATCTCAAGCCGTCCTCCGCTCGCTGCTCGGGATATTCAGGGCAGTACCACTTCCGCCTGCTCTGACACTTCCGCTTCCTCTAAACCCCACCCCTCCCCCCGCCAGTATCCGTGGCAACGGCGCCAGGGGGTTTCCTAGCCATAGTGCAAGGGGCTTTGACGTCAGGAGGTCCATGGCAACCGCTACAGGATGACGTCCACCAGTCTCCGTGGCAACCGTTACCATGAGACCGTTGCTGTCGTATCAGCATCATGTTAACTGATGCGGACGTGTGGGTTTATATACGGTATATATATATATATAGTTAAAAAAATGAAGTTCTTTTGTTTTAATATTTCACTTTGCTGCTGTGCATGATGATAGATAGATAGATAGATAGATAGATAGATAGATAGATAGATAGATAGATAGATAGATAGATAGATAGATAGATAGATAGATAGATAGA